CTCCCTTAACTGTTAAATTTTCGAGAATTTCTTTAACTGTGTTACCGTAAATTTTACTTATATTTTTTACTGTTTAATTTATTATATTTATTCCGGTAGGGCCTTGACCTGACCTCGTCACTACTCGACCGAGGTTAGGCTTGGCACTTACTGGGTACCATTGTGGTGTACTCATGTCCTTCCCTACATATGTTTTTGTGTGCAGATCCAGGTGCGAGCTATCAGCCTCGAGGTAGTGCGTGCTGCTGATTCTAGGAAACTTCAAGGTACTACTGCTTGCGTCCGCAGATCTTCGGAGTCTCCTTCTACTCCCTCGCCTAGAGACTTTCTTTATTATCTTCAGACTTTTGTATAGAGCTACATAGATTATAGCAGCTTGTGACTTAGTGATATTCCGGGTTTCAGAAAATTATTTTGTATATGTCGAGTGGTACTACTCTTGGCTATTCACGATATGCTGTTTATCTTTAAAATGATGTGTTTTCTTTATATTTTTCGTAATATTAGGCTTACCTAGTCGTAAAGACTAGGTGCCATCACGATACCTTACAGAGGGCTAATTTGGGTCGTGACAGCAAGGATTCAAGGTAGAGCTGCTTGGTCGTCGCAGTCCCTTGGAGTCTTTCCATTTTTTTGTATTGTCAACTCTTATTCGAACAGTATTGTATATTCGATCCTTGTGATCATTGCATATATTCAGTTAGAGTTCGTGACTCAGTATTACCAGTCTTGGAAGATTGTTATATTTGTTTTCGCTTTTGGTTTCAACACTTGTAAATTATTTGTTTAAAAAAATGGCTTTAAATGAAATTGTAATCGGATAGTCTTAGAAACTAAGTGCTATCACAACGCCTGAGGTGAGATTTTGGGTCGTGACAGAATTATAAATGACATACATTGTATAAATATTTTTTCAACATTTTTTATAGATCGCGATACAAAATTATTTGAGAAATCAACTTCTAACATCAAAGATAAAGTGCTACTACATTCTCCAACTAACCAATAAATTTAAAGAATATAACACACTTATTCCCAAAGTCAAAACAAAGTCCATCTTGTGTTGTATACAAATTGCAAGTTTGACCATTGCAAAAAGCTTTATCTCTTGAAAACTGGAACACTTTGAATAAACCTTGCTTATTTCCTAAGGCCATTTGACAAAAAACACCACCTTGAGTCTCTTCACTTATTGTTACACTAAATGGCCATATATTTGGTTGATTAATTGTTTGTTGGCCGTAAAAATTTTCATCTGATAAGCATTTGATAATCAAAGGTTGAGTTGCTCTATTTTGAATTCGAACATTATATGATAAAGAAGTGACAAAAACTGAATTAAAATTGTAAGTAAGAAGAAGGGAGAAAAGAATTAAGGAAATTGAAGAAAAAGCCATTGAACTTTTCTGTTTTGTAAATGATTATGTTGTAGCTAATTAAGCTAATTTGATGGCTATTTATATGTGCCATTCAAGAGTACATTTAATATGGAAAAGATGTGACTAATTATTTTGGATCTTTTTAATATGGAAAAGATATGACTAATTATTTTGAATCTTTATTATTAATGATAAAAGGGAAATTTGTGTTTTTGGTCCATCAATTATACAAATTCTATTTTTGGTTCCTTGTGTTATTTTTTATTTTTATTCTTTTCCTTTAAATACCACCATTGTGGCGGGGGGTTTAAACATCTTCAACTAATAAAAATGTTCATCATTAATTAATATTTTGCTTGTGAATTGTCACAAATTTAACGAGTTGTAAACATTTAAATCATTTAAGTTTTTAAATATTATGTCAAATTTGTATTGTTACTCCATATCTGAAGGTATTATAGGTCTAAAATAATCTAGATATAAAATATTTACTATGTAATGGGCACAAATTTTAATTAATTCAAAATTCAATATGCTTAGAGTTAGTGAAATATTACAAGGACCAAATTTAGATTTTTTCAATAACTAAGGGACCACTAGTGCAATTATCTCTTGATAAAAAAGTGATAATTCTGCTTTAATATTTGGATACGATTGAATCAAAATTCTAAGACTGAGATCTATAAAAGTAGTAAGTGTATTACAAAAAATCCTTTAGGATGTTTTAGACTTTATAATTCTGCAATCTAAAATATTTAATGCTGACAGTTGGAGAAAAGCCTGTTTTACGTGCAAACGTCTAATTTTCTTTTTCTTCTTGATTGTGTAATTAAATCCATATATTTTGTTTTAAATTGTGTCTTAATGATGTATATATCGCTGAAAATCTTCAAGCATAAAGTCTAATACTAAATACGAGCTAGTATATACGTATTTACTAGGTGCATTCTGGTATTTCTTTATTCGTGTATAAAATCTGAAAATCGGTCCTAATTGTTGAATACGATATAAAGGTTGACACCAAATTTATTCATTATGAAATAAAATTAGCAGTCTATTTGATAAGGTTCGATTTCAATCAATTCAATTAATTCTAAAAGTTGTAATTTTTTATATGTTATATATCGAGAAACCCAACTAAAATTTACAATAGAGGGATTAAATGCCTAAAATAAGATGATAGGTGTAAGTATTTTCTGAATTATTTCTACTCCATCAGTTATATTTTACGTAACACTTTTTATTTACTAATTTAAAAAAGAATGCTATTTTTATACTTACAAATAATTTAGTTTTAAACTTCATATTATTTTATAGTTACAAAAATATTAAAATAATACTTAAAATTATAGAAAAAATATTTTTTTTTTCTTATTTTAAAGTTTCACGTACAAGCAAACACTATCTTTGCACAAATAGTCGGTTGAATTCGCTGTTTATTTTTTTTAGCCGATATGCGTAGATTATATATTAATAATATATGATTATACACAAATTATATATGAATTATACATATTTTAAATATTTACCGATTATATTTAATTTAAATAGTTTGGTAGACAACTATTTAGGTTAATTATTAGTAAAAAAAAAAAAAAACTAAATAAATAAGTGATTTGGCCATGTTTTCAAACCGACTTGAAAAGGTCCAGAAAATTTAATAGCCATAGGAGAAGTTTTCTCCATTTCGCAATAAACTCGCAGAAACCAGACAAGTGGCATCCTCTTTGGCTTCCACCAATCAAATTTAACGACAACACAACAACTAAAAAAGGGGACAAACAAAAAGGAAATTAAATTAAGGAAAAAAATCACCGTTTAAAGCAAAGAAATAGCAAATTGCAAAACAAAAAGAAGAAGAAGAAGAAGAAGAAGAAGAAACAATATGGCTAATAACTTGAAACTTGCAGCAACCATGTCCAACTCCATTAATTCTGCTCGAGTTTTAGTCCCTGCAACTAGTTTTTGTATTTCTAGATGCTTTGTTAGTGCCACAAGACCTTCTGAAATAGTAAGTTTCAATTTTTCCATTTTAGTTTTTAGAATTTAGAAAGAATAATAAGTGTTCGGACCAGTTTGTGAGTATTTAGATTATTTTTTGGTGAGTATGTGTTACGTACAACTTCCTAACATGCATCAAGTAATTTTGTTTACTAAAAACTTAGGATAGATTAAAAAAACTCATACTACCCGGATCTGACAAGTGAATCGAAAGTTGAATCTACATTGCATCTCACCGAAATCGCCCCATCTATCCTCGAGGAGGAGCTTGGTTTCAAACTCCGATTCGAACAGGAGTACTACGCCATGCTAATGTGAATCGCCCTATCTATCCTCGAGGAGGAGCTTGGTTTCAAACTCCGATTCGAACAGGAGTACTACGCCATGCTAATGTGAATCGCCCTATCTATCCTCGAGGAGGAGCTTGGTTTCAAACTCCGATTCGTATAGGAGTAGTACGCCATGCTAATGTGAATCGCCCTATCTATTCTCGAGGAGGAGCTTGGTTTCAAACTCCGATTCGTATAGGAGTAGTACGCCATGCTAATGTGAATCGCCCTATCTATTCTCGAGGAGGAGCTTGGTTTCAAACTCCGATTCGAACAGGAGTAGTACACCATGCTAATGTGCGCATTGGATGATTCACATCTCATATGAGCACATTGCAGTATCCATAGGGCTGAGAGGACTCATAGCCCAAGGTCAACAATGCAATTATCAAGGGCACGCTTTACCGCGGAGCTAATAGCCCGTCGTGCTGGGGTTCGCTATGCCAAAAGCGAGAGAAATTAAACCCTATCCCTTTCTATCCTTTTTTCGATAGTATTTTGGTCTTAAATTTACTTAATTCATTGGCCGCTAGAGCATACTCTAAAATATATTTAGAGTTTTTTTTCTTAATATATGTTTGTTTAATTTCCTCTCAAAGTGATGGATTCGGTTGTACTGTTCTGAACATTTTCTTGTACTTTCCTTTCTCTTTTGGAAAATATATAAATTTTACAGGCAAAAGTTGATAAAGAAACAGCCCAAAAGATCAAAGAAGCAGCAGTAGCAGTGAAGGAAGGTGCTAAAGAAGTAAAGAGTGTAGGTGAAACTGTCAAAGAGACCGTCTCTTCTAGTGCTGGAGATGTAATTCCATTTATTATTTACAATTTGATTTTTTTTTTCGACTTTAATTTTTCCTAATTTAATCATATCTATAATTCTTCCTTCATGTTTGATTATTTTGTAGGATCAAAAATCAATCATTAATTCCTAATTTTATTATCTTAATATATACTTGACAACTTATTATGATTCTTAATTTATTTTGATTAGGTAATTTCAGAGATGGGAAAGAAGGTGTTGGACAAGGCAACAGAGAATGAAGAGGAAGAAAAGGGTACATGGGAAACAGTCAAGGAAAAAGTCGTTGGCAAAAAGTGACTGCAAAATTAATAGGCATTTGGTTTTTCACGATTTTGAATGTCTTGAATTCCATTTTATTAAAATATTTTACCTGTTTATTTTATCAGATTTTAGTTGGTATATTGTAGTAGTAATCAGGCTGGAACTCTTTCTATAATATAGTCATGAATTTTGGAACACTTAATTTTGGCTGATAAATGGGTCGATTCGGACCCGAACCCGTAGACTCTTAGCCCGTGGGTTCTTAACCGGGCTGAGCCGGTTCACTTTCTTATAGGGGTCGGTCCGAATTTTACCCATTAATCAAAACATGTTGATCCGACTCGGACTCGTAGCCTGTAATCTCTTAAATTGGGCCCTAATGGGCCGAATTCAATTTAATTAGAAAAAGTTAAAAACTAATAAATGATAAAAATTTCAAACTTTATACATAGATACGAACTTGAAATTACTACATGTCCGTGAATCCGGTTAAAATTAAAAAAAAAAAATCATACTTTATTAACATTAAAACTTGAGAAACATATGAAATTCGACTATTTGTATAACTAATAGTCTAAAACATATGGAATTCGACTATTTCGACAAGATGTCTCATAGTGTCTNATATATATATATATATATATGTGAGCTGGTCTGGGCCGGTTGACCTGTGGTCAGCTACTAGTTCGGGTCCGGTCTGGTTCAGTGGGTTAAAATATTATAGCCCGGCCCAGGCCCCTTAAATTAATGGGTTGCTCTGGTTAGGATTTCGTGGGTTATGGGTCGGTTAAAGGGTCAATTTTAATGGGTTATATGGGTCGGCTCGTGGGTCGACCGGGCCAATTTGACAGGTATACTGGATATATACTTTGTACGCATTGAGCATTCTCAGTCCACCTTAAACTACTTTATAAAGGATTACAATGAAGTTTTGAGATTTTTAAAGTAAATCATTAAATTAATGTTTGAATTAAAATTTTAAGCACAAATAATCAATACTTAAATAATTTTAATGATAATCAACTATTAACTTCGAATTTTAACCACTAATAGAAATTTCAAGCTTTTAGAATTGAAGAACTATGATGGTTTTGTTGAAAAAGAAGAAGAGACGGAGAAGGAGCTAAGAGTTTCTTAATCCAAAAAAAAAATCATTAAACTTAAAGGGCCAGTTTCGTATGTTTGAAAAAGTGGGGACAAAAATAAATACCATTACCATAGAGGGACAACCAATGTAAAAACTTGAAAGTAAACAGTGAATCCACCTAGTTATTTGTGTAAAGATCCACGAAAACGTAACCACAAGATAAACCAGTCAAATCTAACACAATTCTGTTGTCAAAATAGCACGGACTAGCGAGTTTTTGGACTGATAATTGAAAAATAGCAAGCATTTGTAAAGTCATAATAATCATTATTTTGCTAAAATACGAAAAGTTCCAGCATAATATGCGGGATTATGGAACTCCTGCATATAAACTTCCAGTATATTATGTTGGAACTCCAGCACGCAGAAAGTTCCAGCATAATATGCGGGATTATGGAACTCCTGCATATAAACTTCCAGTATATTATGTTGGAACTCCAGCACGCAGAAAGTTCCAGCATAATATATTGGATTATGGAGCTCCTGCATATAAACTTCTCGCATATTATGTCGGAACTCCAACGCATTATGAAATTACTGCACATTATATTTGGAAGCTCATATGTAAAAAATTCTAACTTCAGCATATTATGATGGAATATTTCCGGATTTTTAAGAGTGTTTTTGTTCGGATTTTATCTTTACATAAGAAAGTTATTAAATTTCGATTACTTTTGAATCTGTGACTATTTTTCAATTATTATTTATAAATCTGGTTATTTTTTATTTTTTCCCGATTCTGTTCAGTAAAAATTGCATGGGGCGCCCTATTTGGTCGCCCCTTTTTAACTTATACCCGTTTTATTTTACCGTTTGCATCCGTACCCCTTTTTTTTTGTTAAAAGTATTTTAAAAAGACTATTTTGCCCTTCTTTAATAAAAGACTATTGACAAACCGCAGGACAAAAACTTAAGCATGTATAGGCTGAACTTTTAGCAAATAAACTAAAAAATTTCAGCTTGTTTAGACTGAAGTTTCGGATAAAACTCAGAACAAAACTGTAGACTGCGTTACAAATTTTCAGCATATTTTGGTATGAAATTTTAGCAAATAAACTAAATAACTTCAGCATGCATTAGCAAAAACTCTTTAAAAAATTACATACTGCAAGACAAAAAATTAAGTATGTTTAGTCTGAAGTTTTAGCAAATGAACTAAATAACTTAAGCATGTTTAGTCTGAAGTTTTTGCAAATGAACTAAATAACTTAAGCATGTTTAGTCTGAAGTTTTAGCAAATGAAGTAAATAACTTAAGCATGTTTAGTCTGAAATTTTAGCAAATGAACTAAATGACTTAAGCATGTTTAGTCTGAACTTTTTGCAAAATGAACTAAATGACTTAAGCATGTTTAGTCTGAAGTTTTAGCAAATTAACTAAATAATTTAAGCATGTTTGGTCTGAAGTTTTGCAAATGAACTAAATAACTTAAGCATGTTTAGTCTGAAGTTTTAGCAAATGAACTAAATAATTTCAGCATGTTTAGACTGAAGTTTCAGATAAAATCCATGGTAAAACTGTAGACCACAGGATAAATAACTTCAGCATGCATTAGCATGAAGTTTTAGCTTCAATGTAAAACAACTTCATGCTATATTAGCATGAAGTTTTAGCTTCAATATGAAACAACTTTATGCTACATTAGCATGAAGTTTTAGCTTCAAGGTGAAACAACTTCATGCAATTGTGATTTTGAAGATGAATCTGGACAAGTTTCTGATTTATTTATAAAGTTGTTGAGAGGAGAGGATGAGATCGTTTTATATCTTATGTCAGATGTGTAATTATCATATTATTATGAATTTTTTGTGAGATGACTACCAAATCAATAATTTTAAAAAATATGGTACAAATTAAAAGGTGACACAAATATAGGGTACGGCTGCATTCCCCCTTCTGTTCAGGAGGCTAAAAGCCCAATAGAATACGGGCCATTTACAATTCACAATATCCAAACCCAGTCCAAAAGCATATGGGCCCAAAGTTGAAGGTATAAATAACAATGCACCCTCCTCTAAAAGGAGGAATTCAAAATTTGAATTTGGCAGAGAGGGAGAGAAACAATGGCGTCGAAATCAGATATGAAGGGTTTCTATAGGCAAAAGAAGAATAAGAATGGTGGGATCACTAAATCAACAAATTCAAAATCACCATGTGCTGTTACTACGAAGAAATCTATTACCCCAAAGCAAGCGGCTGCTCTCGGCTCTGAATTTACCCACTCTCCAGCCCTAAATGTCCACGGCTCTCCCAATTTGCAAGGTAAGCATTTTCCTTTGATAATCCATTTAGATTATTTTCCAGTGTTTGATTGAGTGTAAAGTAATTTACAGATCAATTATCATACGAATTTATGTGATCAGTGGTGTTGGCGTACGCCAGAATTTTTATGTCACATTTAGAACGGATAATTTTATAATGACGTTGCAAAAAAAAAAAAAAAAAAAAAATTAGATCATATCAGCTACACTATTCTAGTACTATTTTTGCACTGTATTCAATAATACCTCATAATTATAAAGGGAATTTAAGTTATCAGTAGAATATTTAGTTTGGTGTTCTAGCTGGTTTGAAATCTTTTGGAGGTCACGAGTTCGAAACTTCCCTACTACCTAATGATTTTCAACAGCTGAAGCTCAGAAACTTTAGAAAAAGAAATTCCATTCGGTATTGGGGCTCCAACCCGAACCTTAAATCTGTAAGTGAAGCTTCTAATCGGTGTATTTAGCGAACTTTTCGGATAAAGCGGTGTCACGTGGCAGCGCTTGGCCTAACAGTATGTGATACAGTTTGACTGTGTGCGGAGTTAAAAAATAATGAAATTTTTTGAGACTTGTGGTCTTAAAACACGTCATAACATTTCGGTGGCAATAAAAGTTTTTCGGTAAAGGTAAAATAAGGTGTAAAGTTAATTGATGCCAAATATGGAAATGTGTTCTTTTTGGAGCAGACTAATAAGTAAATAGTGCCATAAAAGTGGAATATATGAAGTATATGATAGTATGATGATGATTTTTCAGAAAGATGTTTTTCGTAGCTAATACACCTAACACTACAATTTCCCTCGCCCCTTATCGGTTTGTATTGATGTTGCGTAATGAGTACGATATATTTTTGGCCGTAGTGTTTATTCCCCTTGTTGTTCATGATCAGATTGAAACACCTGCAACTTGTTGAGTTTGCGCTTATAATGCGTTCGCCTTTTTACACGTCGTTTTTGGTTTGAAATGCCAAATGGGATGTTTGTTTCTCCATTGTTGATGGAATTCGAAATGATAAGTGTGGAGTATTAGTTATTGACCGTACGAAGCAAATCCGAGTACTCCCCTGTTAAATTATATGGCACAATTTGACTGGAACGGAGTTAAGAAATAAGAAAGACTTTTGAACACTCTTGATGTCTAATTATGTACCTGTGCGTTAATTTTGTTCATTACTCTATGCTCAAAGTATACTAAATAGAATTACTCTGCACAAATTTCTGATCAAGATAATTTGCAGTAAGAAGAAATCAAGATAAGACACTTTCAGTTAATACAAAGACATATGCTATAACCAATTTATACACGGTATCAGCTAATCAATACTAATCGACATGCATATGTAGTTATATTTTATTTGGAAATGACCATTAGTAATATATATTCATATTACATTTGAACAACATTCTCTAGCCGAGGGTATATCGGAAACAACCTCTTTGCCCTTCCAGGGTAAGGGTAAGGGTAAGGCTGCGTACATCTTACCCTCCCCAAACCCCACTTGTGGGTTTGTTGTTGTTGTTATTTGAACAACATGTTTTGAAGCGTTGTGAAATTGAAAAGCAGAAGATACATTAAAGAGGCTTAGTTTAATAGCACTTTGTGAGTTGTGAAAGAAAAATCGTAGACGATTAGTCATTAGTCGATTTTTAAGTTCTTATCCCTTGGGCTTTTTATCTTTTGACTATTTCCTGCATTGATATTTCTCAAATGATGGACTGAGGGATAAGTAATAAGACCATATCACTTGCTATCAGATACATGCTGTGCAAGATCATTGATCCTCATACTTTCTCATCCTGCTTAATCCAATGAACCAAACGTTCACTAAAAGACCATATACGTATCCTACGATGTCAAATTATAATTGACAAACGTGCACATTTTTGTGGAGATGTTGTTGTTTACCTCATTCATGAACTATCCTCTCTCTTGTAGCGTACTTAACTTTGTACTTATTGTTTGACCTCCTAGGCTTCCCATTGCTAACGCTGGAATAGTGGAATCGACACACGCACAATGTGCATGCATATTTTTTAAGTATTTCACGCATTTTTAAATTGTTTGCTTTAATCATAAGAACTTCCAACTAGAAATTTGCGAGAATGTAGTAAGAGCACCCAGGTAAGTTTTTTTCTCCTAATTGATTAATGGTATAAATGAGTTGCGTACAAGGCTGCTGAAATTAGCTTTTCGATGAGTTGTCTATATAGATTCTATATAGCTCTTCTTTCTCAGTCTTCTCCTCTTCGTTGAAATGCTGCCCAGTTCTTCTTTCACTGTTTTTATGCTGCCCAGTATTTATTTTAATATTTTTTAAAAAAAATTCCGTTTCACTTCAAAAAAGCGAGCGCTTTGCTTCTCGCTTCTCGCTTTAAGCGAAATGGGGGTTGTCGCTTTTCCTCGCTTCACGCTCTTCACAACTCTGATATAGAATGACAATAGACAAACTTGCTGCTATTCAAGTTGAACAGAGATGCTCAATGAAAATCATCAACATAGCCAAGTAAAAATGCTAGTAATACTATTCTCGATTGTACTGGTGAATTATCACAAAAATGCAATCTCCCTTAGAAAATTTCTGATAAGTAGTGTGATTGAAAGTCTTCTTTGTATGGTGTTACCAGGGATTGTAGATTGCAGAATTTTTATGTGTCACTGGTTGCTATTTGTATCTTAGTAATTTTACTTGCAGAGAAACTAAGGAAATACTCACACTCTATGGACACTGCCCGCAACTTTTCACTTATTTTATAACTGAACATATCAAGAATATATATAGCAAGCTTCTGATTAGTATATCTTCTACTCTCCATTTCTCTTTTTTCTTCTTGTAATACCTTTTCTTATACCAAAATTTTCAGATGATTATGACAGGCAGGAGGAATTATTAAGGCAATTTGACTTGGATATGGCTTATGGACCAAGTCTTGGATTGAGCAGATTGGACAGATGGGAGCGTGCTAAAAATCTTGGTTTAAACCCTCCTAGAGATGTGGAGCCTCTCTTGAGGTCTAACAAGGTTCGGAATGAATCTTTGTGGGATGGACGCGTTTAACTTTGTTTAGTCTGTTGATTATCATCCAGTAACTCTTGTATTACTTAGTTTTCCTTTTCTGTTGGGGCGGGGTGGGTCTTGTTCTGGGTAAAAAGTTACAGCATCTAGCTGTATGGTAGTTTCTTTACAAATGTTTTGTTTAGTTTATTCCTAATATAAGCTTCGTTAAAGTTTGTTGTTTCTTGTTTGGTTGTTCTGCTGCTGAAAAGTACCTATGCATATTATTCGATATTTTCATCTGAGTTCTGTATACCAAATGACATCTTAACTGATGTAGAGAAACAAGAAGCTATTACTTGGCTTAACCCTTAGCATTGTTGAAGAAGTGCTCTGTTGCACTTGTCAATGTATAGGCTGTATCTGCAGCTAAAAAAGAGGGCACGTGACCGCGTCTCTAAAAGCTCGTTTAACACGAGTACCTGTTTTCGTCATTCATTATGCTCTTATGTACTTGATGTAGCGTGATAACTTATATGTTGTTCTATATCTCCGTGAATCTGGGAAGTTTTGCTTGCGTAGGATTATTTGGGCTACGTGCTGAAATTGAGAATACCAGTTACAGTATCTATTATCTAAAGAGGATTAATCCTTCCAGTTGTATCAGCCATTGTTGGCTAATCCCAATCCTAGATAAATATCTTATTTTCTGTGAGCTATGGTATGACACTGGTTGACGTATGAGATTGTTTTTGCCAAACCTGCTCAAGTCTGCCCTGTGTTGTAATTAGCAAAACGGAGTAATGGACGTCTTTACACATTCCGAGTTCTAGGACAAATGTATCATTTCATAAATGATTTGATCGCAACTGATCAAAAAGGTAAAAACTTACAACTATCCATCAAGATGATTATATTGTTATAACGGGTGAAGTTTTGTGACTATAGTATGAAAAAAAAAATAGTTTTGGGACTTTGAATGAGAGCTTGGAGCAACGGTAAAGTTGAATCCATGTGATCTATAGTTCATAGGTTCGAGCCGTGTAATCCGTCACTGATGCTTGCACCAGGGTGGGCTACTTAAATCACACCCCTTAGGATGCGGCTCTTTTCCGAACCCGGCATGGACGCTGAATGCACCACGGTGAATTCGCCACTGATGCTTGCACCATAGTGGGCTGCCTACATCACACTCCTTAGGGTGCATCCCTTTTCCGAACCTGGCGTGAACGCTGAACGTTTCAGACTGTCTTTTTTTAATTTGTGCTATATTATTCAGTACTCTTGCATTCCATAGGTTACATAACAGTTCTGATGTAAGCTAAGTTTACAACTTTAAGTTGTCCAATTGAAGAATAACGCTTTGTCTTTATTTTTTGGCCGTAGAGGTTCTTTGGTGCTAAAACTCACAAACATAATCGTTCAAAGTAGTTCTTTTTTCAAGTGCCGCACATTTAACTAATTAAAACAAATAACTAAAGTATATGCATTCTGTGAATTCGTGATCATCTATCATGCGTAGCAGTGCAGCCACTAATGAACTTTAGACTCCTTTTTATTATCTCTGAACTCCACTGTTTGAGATATGTTTAGCTTTTAACGATTACTCGCCCAACCTGATATCCATCTTGGAGGCTATCATGATTAACATGAATCATAATGGTGTAGATTATTTTTTCATTGGGTTTTAGTCGATAGCGGCGTCATGATTTTCACTAAAGAGAGTTAAAATTTTAAAAAGAAAATACATGAAAATGTCAAGAAAATTTAATTCATACTATATAGTTGTTTCAATGTGACATATAGGTCACGAATTCGAGCCGTCGAAATAGACATTAATGTTTACATTAGGGTCGGTTGTCTACATTATACCTAGGGCCTAGGGGTGTCAATGGATATTTAAAAATTGACTATACAGACCGAGCCATACCATACCGAACCGATTTTTAGGTTTATTTTAATAAAACATTAGGTTTTTATATAAATCTATAACCGTACTGATAATTAGGATAAGTTTTTTATTTTATGAAAATAAATCGAAAAAATACCGAACCGTACCGAATAAATTTACATGTGAAAAATATATTTATATATTAAGCTTAAAAGTAATAAAGCATTAATTTTTTCCTTGGGCCTTTGAATTATGAAAATGGTTACAAGCCAACAAATAATTAAACTCAAAATCCTAATTTTCAAACCTATTATGCTTCTCATATTGAAACTAAATTATTTTCAGCATATTCACTAGCAAGACACAAGGGCGACCCAACCATTTTCGTGGCCTAAAGCCAAACTTTATAAGGGGCCTTAACTTTTTATTAATAAAAAATATTTTATTTTTATTTGAAATCTATTTTTCTAACTTTTTTAGATGCAAAGTTATTATTAATTTTTATAATCAATTTCTCCTAATAAGTCTTTCTCAATTAACAATATAGTTGATTCATTTAATATATTTGGGACATTGACTTAGGTAAGGTTTTATCAATTTTAATTTTGAAACACTTTTTTTCCGTTGAAGCAACTATAATATGAGTTATTAACATTATTCTATAAGTAATATAGGTATTTGAAAAATAATCAAACCTTTTTATTTGATTGAGTATATCAATTAAATTGTTATCTTCTAATTGTACTATTTTTTAAAATATTTTTAATGCAGAAAATAAATCTAAACTATCAATATCGGGTTGATTATTATGATTTAAGGAGCATTCAAGACAAAGGCAATATTTTTTCAAATTTCTATCATCTAGTAATCTCAGTTTTTACCGCTAAATAGAAAACCAAAAATATTTTCATATGCCTCTAATTGTTCAAATCTATTTTAAATTGAAAAAATAACCTTGTCTACTACTCTCTCCAATCCATAATAAATGACTTTTTTGGCTTTTATATTGGTTCAAAATAAGTGTCCTTTTATATAATCGAGAAGGAATTAACTTTATTTTTTAAAAATTTGCCCTTACTTACATATCTCTATGCGTCAAGTTAACAACATATAAATTTTAATTAAGGATAATTTAGTCAAAATATATTTTTGTTCTAGGAGCCAATATTTTCTTAAGGGGCACAACAAATGTTAAAAAGTCATTTATTATGGACGAGAGAGAGTATGTATAAAAAGTAATTAACTCTAAAGGACTCTTCGAGAGATTTTGAGATTTCACTATTAACATTCTCCTCAAATTGTTTCTTCCCATATATTACACGTTTCTTATGAAATTCGGGTTCGATATTAATTTCAAATGCAATTTCCTTTGCAGAAATCAAAGCAGTTGCAAATCCTTCGTCACTACATTTGTTAAATAAAGAAATCAAACTTTTTCACCACATAACTTTTTAATTTTTTTTTTATATATAGCCTATTAGGTGTAAAAGAAATGGGGTCTCCACAAATGTGGGACCTAAAGCAGTTGTTTTACATGCTTTATGGACGGGCGCCCCTAGCAAGACATAAGGTATTCTAGCCATAAATATCAAACACAAGAAACTCTGATGCTCACACTAGATATAGGGCCGACTATAGGGTAAAGCGTCTAAAGAAAGTGCTTGAGGCCCCCAAATTTGGGGGGGGGGGGGGAATTTTTTTTA